TAATTCCCGGTAACGCTGTAAGCAAACTGAGAAAGATCAAGGTTAGCTTCAAAAACAGGCTTGCTTAAACATCTGGCAATGATAGGAGTGACATTAATGCCTCTAAAATCCTGATATTCAAGGGGTGTGTCAACTTTAGGAAGAGGGTTAATATTAGCTTGTTTCCACGCAGATGGCCAGGTGTGGTTCTTCAATGATAGGTTCCATATACTTAGCAGTAATCACAGTAGGGAGTAAGTCTGCATTCTCATCCCATACCCAATATGGTATACCATTGGGACCTGTTGCTGATTTCTTTATGTTAGATAAGGCAAGCAGAACTTGATATTCGTCTAGAATAGGCGTGGTCACATCACCAGGGTCGATTTGAACTAATTCAGGCTCCACATATTCCTTATCATGACAAAAATTTCCAAAGAAGTAATTTAGACCTTGATTTATTTAGAAATTGTCATTAAGAACTAGTTGAGTATTGTTTCCTCAGAGAAATGTTATCAACTTTGCGCCACCATTGCTGTGAACCCCTGTGTGAAATTCCCTAGCTCTTTCCATTTTCTGCTATAACAGCAGACACTCTCTCTGTTAGATCGTTGACCTTGACATCATTTCCATTTTCATTTTCTGTAACAAACACTTCAGAAGTGGAGTAATCCAGGGGGGGTCTCTCATAGACATAGTGACGGTTTTCACTGGAAAACATGAGTCCATCATGTTATGAAGAGTGCCAATTAGTCGATTATAGGCACAATCAACTTGAGTATTCAGCACATGCAACCAATCACAGGCCTGGATTTTGTTAGTGAGCGCCAGTTTACAATGTTCTCGGTAATCTCTAAACTGATACTTGGTGCGCAGAGGATTCAACTTGCTGCCAGGAGGAAATATTACACTACTAGAGCAGTAAGACCAGCAACAGTACATAAATGAAAAATTATATCCATTAAATCTCCGCCACACACAATAGCGCCATCAGGAACAGAGTCAAGAAAGTCATCAGTAACTGAAGTAATTGCACTTTCCATATAATTCACTTTTGGAGGGTGATAAACACCAATAACTAGCATTACATGACTAGATAGAAGTAATAAGTGCACACTTAACATCTCGAAAGCTGAATCTCGCTTTACATCAAGTACTTTCATGTGTTCACGGACATGGATGGCAACGTCTCCTTTCTTACATTTATCAATATTTTCCCAGTCACGGTCCCTTCTGTGAATAGAG